GTGTACTTTGTTGATCTGCCTGTTCTGCTCTCCACTCTGTCTCTGGTGAATCCTCTCACCCTCTGTATCTCTGGCCTGTACCCCAGTTCTGTATGAATAAATAAATATTAAAGAAAAAAGTACCCCACTGTATACAGACTCCAAAAGACTCACTTCAGTGCATCCAATAATTTTTGCAGTCATAGTAGTAAACCAGTACTCCAGTTTCATCAATAAATAGATCATCCAAAGTGAAAATCAGTGATGAGACATTAGACTTTAAATGACATTATAGACCAGATGGATTATACTATAGCCATTGACTAAACAGTCCACCCAAATGCAGCAGAATATACATTATTAAACACAGATGAAACATTCTTCAGGATAGATAATATGTTAGGCTGCTATGCATATCTTAACTAATATAAGAAGATTGAAATTATATTAAACAACTTTTAGATGGAAATGGTATAAAACTAAAAATCAAAAAGGAGAAAACTGGAAATTTTTCAAAAGTGTAGAAGGTAAACAACATGTGTTGAACAACCATTGGGTCAAAGAAATCAAAATAGAATTTAAAAAATATCTTAAATGAATATGGAAATACAAAATACCAAAATGTATGGGATGCAGCAAAAGCTCTTGTAAAGGAGAATTTCATAGAAACAAATCGTTACGTTAAGAAAGAAGAAAGGAACTATGAATATACAATGAGAAAAGACAGTCCCTTCAATAAATAATGCTGAGAAAACTGACAGTCACATTAAAAGAACAGAATGAATCATTATGTTTACCCATACTCAAATATCATTCTAAAATGGATTTAAAAATTGAATATAAAACCACAAGCCATAAAATTTCTAGAAGAAAATGTAGGAAAGTAGACAACTTGGCATTCCTGTTGTCAATGTTTTTTCTGGAATTGACAACAAAAGCACAGGTAATAAAACCAAAATTCAACAAACAGTAGCAACTAACTTGAAATGCTTTGTACAAGAAGAAAAAAAAAAGTCAGAAAAATAAAAAGGCAATGTACAGAGAGGGAAAAACTTATAAATCATATTTATTTTAATGATGCTAATGTCCAAATTATGTAAAGAATTTATACAACTCAATAAAAAGAATTTTTTTGTTAAGTGACAGAGGATCTAAGTACCCATTTTCCCAAAAAAGCATACAAATGGCAGTTGGGTGTGTCAGAAAGTACTAAATATCACTATACACTAGGGAAATACAAGTCAAAATTACAATGGACAAAATTACAATCTTATGGAAAAGATAAAAGTAAGGATTGGTGAGAATGTAGAGAATAGAGAACCCTTGAATTGTTGATGGGATGTAAATGTAAATATGGAAAACAAAAGGTTCCTCAAAAATATAGAACTACCATATGATCCAGCAATTCCACTTTTGGTTATTTATCCAAAAGAAACAAAATCACTTTCTCAAAGAGCTGTCTGCCCTTTGCTTTTTTGCAGTCTTATTTATAATAACCAAGATATGTGATCAACCTCTGAGTCTGTTAACAAGTGAATAGCTGAAGAAAATGTGATATATAATATAATGTTGTTCAGCATAAAAAAGAAGGAAATCTCCTATTTGTGGTAACATGGATGGATGTTGAGGATATTGTGCTGAGTAATTTAAATTGCATACACTAAGAGAAAGAAAAATATTGTTTACATATATCTGGAATCAAAAAAAAATTCCATTGATAATAGAAAACAAGTTGATGGTTGTTAGGGGTGGTGGTGGGGCATGGCTAAAATGTGTGAAGGTAATCAAAAGGCACAAACTTTCAGTTATGGATAAGTCCTGGGGTTTTAACATGCATCATAGTGACTGTAACATACACCATGTAACAGGCATGGTGACTGTTGTATATTTGAAAGCTTCTGGGATAGTAGATCATAAGAGTATTTATCATAGGGATTAAATGTGTAAGTATGTGATTATGGAGGTTAACTAAACATGTTGTGGTAATATCTTAATATTTATATATCAAATAATTATGTTGTACAAATAAAATTGAAATACAATGTCATTTGGAAATTATATCTCAATTAAAAGAAAGGAATATGTATCATTTTCAGTAACAATCAACTCTGTCAGTAGGGCAAAATAAAAACAGGCAAATATAAAACATTTTTAGGTTCTTTCAGATGATAGTACTTAATGAATGAACTCAAACATAGGAAGAAGTTTTGGAAACACATTCTTACATGAATAAACTTAGTTGTAAAATGTTAGAACTAGACTTATCTTTTTTAAGGTTGAAATTATTTATAAGTTCTGAAAGCCCCTTCTAGTTTAAAATGCCTCCAAATACATCCCACTGCCATTGATTTATGGCAATTGTTTCAGTTTTAAAACATAAGCTTCCTGAAAAAAGGGAGCTCACATAAGTTCCATTCAGTTCTTGAGAGCCTATGTATTAGACTTTTGCTCATGAATGTTAGTATGCTAAGCACGTTTTTATATAATATCTTATCAAATGGATATCTGAAATCTAAGAAAGATAAATTGGCCATGTTTAAAATGCTATTTTATTCTCATTCCATGTTCCGGTTTTCCAACTTACCACATTAGGTATTATTGTAAAAACATCAGCCAGAATGCCCAATTTATAGAGCAGATGATGGATGTCTGGTTTAACAGTTTTACTCCTAACAATCATTGACATGTAAGAACAATGATAGATCTTTTTTGTATTTAAAGTATATCATTCTTTGTGATTTAGTTTTCATCCAGTTTATCTTTCCTTTTAGACCTGTATGTGGAATCAGAGGGAAAACTCTCATAATTAACCTGCCAGGTAGCAAGAAAGGATCTCAGGTAAGCAATCTTGAGATTTATATGGCTTAATGTAAGGACCTTTGGCTAACTATTAGAGTTAGCCAATCAAAATATTTGAATACTCCACAGGATTTCCCTCAATTTCAGCACCAACGCATTCATAATAGCACTCCAGTCTCAATAATTCACTAGCAAGACTCACAGAACTCACTGAAAAATATTACCTTCCTGATTGTACTTTTTTGCAGGGAAAGTATATAGATTAAAATCAAGGGAAAAAGCAACGAAGAGAAAGAGGAAAGGTATCAAATGTTGAACATTATTCTCTCCATGTGGGGTCATGGACCTATTACTCTTATGACACTGAGACATGTTATAGCACAGGAAGTATTACCAGGTCCAAGACTTAAGTGTCTAGATTTTATATTGGGACTCATCATATGTCAATCCATATGGTAGACATCTAGTCACTAGCCCTTCCCAAAAACTGAACTGATACCTTTAGTCTCTAACACTTTCCAGAGGCAAAACTGGTAACACACAAGCTCCCATCATAAACCACAAGATTAGGTTGACTACTAGCCAGTTTCCAGACAAATAAGACAATTCTATCACTCCCAGTAATTTAGGGCAGTGTACAGACTTACTTTGGGCAAAATTAATTCTTCACTATGCAAACTACTTCCTGACCTCTCCCAGGGCTCTCTTATCTCTCTTATAGTAGAACAACTGTACATGTCTGACTGGACATATTATGATAGCATTCATATTATACACACAATTATATGTAAGATTTGAAAGTGTCAGTTGGATAGGGACAGATTTAGACAAAGAGCTTGTTCATCCTTTAGAGCCACTACATACATTTTCATATTTTTATACTTTTGTTTACCTTAACCTACTATTATTTGTAGCCCATGATACAGTCACCTATAACTATTTACCCTGGATTATAGTTCTCTTTTACATATCAGTCATTTCTCCTGGTTTTAAATTTTAAGTATTAGCTCAGTTTTCTAGTACATTTGACCATCAATATTAGTACTATAATCTTACTACCAGTGCCAGTCTTGTTACAGTGCTAGGTATGATCTGAAAAAATAACAATTGGAAGATATTGGAGTGTTACTGGATATCTACACAAATATTAGCAGTTAGCCTATCCATTATCATATCATAGGGCTGATGTTTTCCAAAGTGATGCAGATCACTTTCGGCAGGCTTGTTGGGTTCCAAAAACAGGACAATCTTAGCAACACACAATACCCTTTCTGGTATGTGTTACAGCTAAACTAAGAAATAATGTGATTTATTATAAACCTCTTTTGTGACACCAATGTAATGAATTTTCCACATTGCAGAGCACTTTTATTCATTCCTTTGCCTTTAACTACCATCCTTCCTCTCCATTTATATCCAAATATTTCCTTTGAAAACCTTTGATTGAGGCAGTTGTTTTACACACTGTGTGTCCAGATTGCCATCAATATTTCTAGTTTACAACTGCCCCTCTCTCAGACCATTTCTGCTTATATGAGCTGGAGTTATATAAGTTCAGAATTGGTAATCAGTCTCAAACACTAGGCAATCTAACTGCATTCACTGTCAACTTTAATTTGGCCAGATTAAGTAAGATATAACCTATCCTTGGAGATCCATAGGAATTTCAATTTACCTTTAAAGTTTAAAGGTATAGTTATAGTTTCTGTTTAGGAATTATTCTTGCTTCTGGCACCCACAGTTGCTGTCTTGACTTTTAGATCACTATATCAGCTGGAAAAAAGGAAAATTGAGATTATATGAGAAAAAAGAAAAGGTGTTGTCCTAAGTATACAAATAGTCATGCCGTCATGCCCCAGTACCATCTTCCCTCAAAATTTGGAAGAATCCATCTACTAGGTACCCTCTTTTGGCCTAACTAATGTCAAGTGTGATTTCAGAGTCATTGAGGTGCATAATCAGCCCTTAAAGCCTTTATCTTGTCCCATTTTAGACACCATATGTTCCAACTGCCCATTCCATTTTTCTATCAAATTATTACTCTCAAGGTAAAGTGTGTTGATTAATCTGAAGAAATCTGACTCAACAGTCATTGGTATAGTATCTTTTCTGTTTATTTTATGATACCCTATCATTTTTTTTATCAGATGGAATAGTTCTTCTTGGTATTTTGTGCCTCCTTGTACAAAAAGATATATGTAGATTCAGCCATTTGCTAAGAACCTTCAATGCCCACTCATCTAATGGGGCCAGGTAGCTATGTCAGACAAGCTTACCAGGATATATGCTCACCAGTTCCAATCAACTTCCAAATCTGGAGAAGCATTCTTCTGATGAGCACTAATGTATCCTACTTTACTATACCCCTTAAATTCACAATGATACCCATAGGCCTATACCTCCTACATGTACCCCCTTAATAGACTCATAGTTCATGAACCTTCTGTCTGATCATATGGCCCAGCTTTTGGACACTTCCAATGAGTCAGTAAAAACTTAAAAATAAACATAAGGGCAAACATCTTGCAGTTCAGCCATGGAGCTGATTTATTTTTACCTTCTTCAATCAGAGTGGCGGCCTTCCAAACAGGATGCTGTCCGTTCACCTCGGAATTGCCATCCATAAACCAAGCAGATCTTTGTTGATCAATAGAAAGATGTTTTTAGGGCAACGCCTAAGTGGCCCAAATGTTCATAGGATCCAGCAGCTCCTCAGGTGTTTCCGAAGTCGGACATAGGGGAAAAAGTGGCTACCTGCTCGTGAGTACCTCCTTGCATTCTCCTGGTAGCATGATCCTGTATGCATCATTTCCATTTTATTATGGAATCTCCTGGGCACTGTCTTCCCCATTAGAGAATTTCTCTTTTGTTACCCAAGATATTATGAGTATTTTAGGTTTCAAGATTTTATTTTTTTGCCTTCAGTCAAGGGGTGGGTCAATTAAAAAATATCCAAGAGCAAGGACACAATTGTCTCTCAAATGGAAATTTCTGTTTCAAAATTCTAGTAGTTGTTGTTGAGTGACACTCTCAGACTTTTGTCAAAAGCCCTGATCTTTATGCAGGGCCATTGTACAGCAAATTAGTGAACTCTGGAGTCAGGCAATGTTAACCTATTTAGCTTGTCCTGTCTGTATTGATGCAAGAGCAAATTTACTTGTCTTCTGCTTTATAATGCTGGAGATGGGGAGGATTCCCACTATAGCATCCTTTCCCATAATACATTCAAGTAAGAGAAACTCATCACTTCACATAAAAGTTCACCATCAAAACATTCTAATTTTCATCACTAATTTTCGTCCTATCAGCTATTGCATTCCTATACCCTCCCAATCTAACTGTACCCCCATTAAAATTCAACCCATGTTAGAATCACAGTCCATGGGGGAGCTTCCATGTCTAGGAATCCCAGAACATCTTTTCTTCATCCCCTGACCATTTTATTTATTTATGTGCATATGGCCTTGGTTTTCTAAGCCTTGATTATTCAAGGTGAGGATTCTTAGGGGTGTATGTGTCTCATAACTTTTTTAATTCCTCCAGCCTATGGTAAATGGAGATTTGTCTAGGACCCTTTCAGTGTTGGGAGACTAACAGGAGCTCCCATTACTCCAGTTAGCTTATAACAGTGTTACATGAGAACTTTTGTTTCCTGCCCCTCAGTGTCCACTTTATTCATTGATTACTTCATAGTTGTTTAAATATGTCTACCCTTCTAGAACATGTTCTTTGAATCTCTTATTTCATAGACTTTGTTCTCTTATGAGTCGGTCCAATTTTACTTAACTATTTGTTGTTCTATCATAACTTTTTCCTTAAGGAACAACTGTGAGGCAAGAAGCTCTGTATAGACCACTGAGAATTCAAGTTTGACTCAGTTCAGAATCCACCCCAATATTTTCCTTACTTTTATTTTAGCTAGTACAATAATGAAGGGATTGTGTATTTACCTTGTTTCTTGTTATTTTACACATCTTTATGTATCAAGTGGTGCAACTCATTGAGGTGGATCTGTCATTTTGAGATTCCATCTCTAAATTTTATCTCCACTAACTAATTACAGCACTGCTGCAATTCCATACTATGACTGGCCCTATGGTCATACAAACTCTATAGATTCATCAGGCCCTCACTTTTTCTCCCTTCCTCTTCTGAGATCACATGTTTCAATGAGTCCAGATCTATTTAGTTAATTCCACTTCTGACACATCCAAGGCATTTGGAGCTTTTTATGCAAATAGGAGTGCTAACTAGGCCTTAAATGTCCAAAGTTTTTAATGCAGCTTATTACCTTTTTGGCTGGCCTTTACTCAGAGGGGCATTTGATGTCTTTAATTTCTATTCCTTTCAGAGGCAAAACTGATAGCATCTTTCTCAAAATCCTCATTAAAAAAAAAATACATTGTTGGATTATCAATACTCAAAGTCTTCAAGTAAAGAAAATCACTCCTGATTTGATATTCCAGAGAATTAAAGATGACCCTCCCAAAAGCAAAGAGTAAAGATCAAACCTCAAGTCCATTACAGAATCTGTACTATATATACACTTTATCAGTAAAGTGAATGAGCAAAAGATGTCAAAAGATTAGGTCACTTCTAGATATTTCAGTAATTGCAAATTCTAAGCTATTTCTTTCTTAGATTTTAAGGTAAGTTACTCTAAAGATAGTAGAGTAAGACCTGTACCCAAATACATACCCTAAACATATCTGGCTCTGTGTTTTGCTTTTAAAATTCCTACATATTCTCTTTTGGTGATTCAATATAGATAATAATTGGCACCTATGTAGGAAACAGTATAGTTTTTGTACAGTGCTTTGTAAAAATTATATCTGCTTTTACATATTTAAAACATTACCTGGCTATGCTTTTTGATAGTAATCAGAACTTTAATTATCTAAAAACATATTCTATCCTTTATTTAGGTTCGTAATGCTAATGCTCTGCTTTAACTATATACAAAGATGAAAAGTTTTTCCTGCCTTTTCCATATGTATCTTTAAACTCCAAAGTTGTGTAGAAATTCTACTTTTAATAACTCAGTGTTTTTAAATATTACATATAGTAACTGATGGAGAGGAATACATCACCAAAATCACAAATAAATTTCACTATTAACATTTTATATAACTATAAAAGTGTTTTATCTTCATTTTTTCTTCTTCTTTTATACAGGAATGTTTTCAGTTCATACTGCCAGCTCTACCTCATGCCATTGACCTCTTACGTGATGCCATTGTAAAAGTAAAAGAAGTACATGATGAACTTGAAGATTTACCTTCACCACCACCACCTCTTTCCCCTCCTCCCACAACTAGTCCCCATAAACAAACAGAAGACAAAGGGGTTCAATGTGAAGAAGAAGAAGAAGAAAAGAAAGATAGTGGTGTTGCTTCAACAGAAGACAGTTCCTCATCACATATAACTGCAGCAGCCATTGCTGCCAAGGTAAGTTTTTTGAGAAAGACAGAATTATAAAGAACCCACAGATAAATGCACTGATTTCATCCCTTTTTCTAATCATCCTTCCATAATTTTAGTACTGGGATATTCATAATATTCCAAAACTATGTTTTCTACATAATATAGTTCTTAAAGTCATTGAAATTTGTTCTCAGTCTGTGGCATTTAAAAGATTGCTGTTAACTTTGAAGTTATCACTATAATGATGAACAATGTGACTTTTAAGAACTCAGGAAATTTCATTTTTGTGGACATACTAAATATACAATGTTAACATAGTCAAAGTAACAAATATTAATACATAAAAAACAGAAAACTGAATGTGTAAGGACCTTAGATAATTCAAGAAATAATAACAAAAACATTTTAATGAAAGAATTTTAGCAGTTAACTGAGCATGTCTAAATAGAGTACTATGAGATATTTGAGTGACTCTAATCATCTTAAAGTCATAGGGCATAATTTACATTAGTATATGTCTCTACTTAGTATAACACCCAATATGTTCTATCATTGGAAAGTTATTTTACCTCTGGAAATATTGATTATTCATTGATCAGAAGCATACTGATGAAAGTCTAAGTGTTATATGAATTACATGAAGTTCTAAGTTTTATGTATCATCCAGTTGTTTTGCCTGCAAGCATAGTGTGAGAGGATTATTTTTAACAACATATATTAGAAAGGATCACAGAGATCCATTTGCATTGTCCATGCAGACAACAAGTAAGTGGTGGTTCTTTCCCTGAACACTGGTGAGTCTGTCTACATATCCATTCTGCAATCCATTAAGTCTTTATTCAGAGCTGTAAGTACTTAATTTGTGTGTAGGGTTTGTGTTGTGCTATTTTGTTTTGTTTTATGGACCCAATGTTGAAATAGGTGCATGTAAAAGTCACTTAATCTTCTTTTTCTTTTACACTTAGTTAAGAGTAAAAAGTGCCATCAATTTTAAAAATAAATTGTAACATTTGAAATCTGTTTGTCATTCTGCATTTGTAAAAAATTGACATTTCATTGTTTCATTTGGTTTTCACACTTTTTCCATTTCAATCATGTTGTTTGTATAGTTTCATGTTTTCCTTTCAGTATATTCATAGTTGTTATGTATTGTGCATTAGAAGCATCCATTCTACACCAGTCCTGCTGTTATCATGGCACACGGTGAACAGCCCATCCCAGGTCTCATCAATTATTCCCATCATGCAGCATGCAGTGCAGATGATCGGGTAAGACAAGGCTTTTGCATTGATGATTTGCCATCATTCAGCTTTTCTTCTATCCTTGGAGATAGACGCTAACATTTTATTCTGAAGGATCTCAGCACTGCTTATTCTTGTGAAAGTCTAAGTGCCACAGTGTATATTCCATCAAGGAATTTAATGTAATAATTTAAACTATACCAACTCTAATATTACTGATTTTCTGTAGAGTGTGACAATAAACTTTCCTTACATGACTTCTAAGAAATTCACTGCTAAGAAGTTCTTTTGCTTTAACAATTTCATCACATACCTTTAAATAAATTGCCTGACTTAATTAAGGTAATCCTTTAAGAGGATCACTTTAATCCTTAAAGTCTAAAATGATTGGTGAAGCTCATTTTTAATTTGTATTAATCTTGCTTTTTTTCTCATGATTTTGCATCCCATTTTTTTCTCTTCATTATAATTTCATTATAGCCACTATAGAAGTGAGTCTTAATACAAATCTGAGATTACTAATCTTCAGGTAAAATGTTTAAGGATACATATTACTGATTGAATAATAGCTTATGAAAAAAAAATGCCAGGTTAGAAAAGATTTAGCTAATAAGTAAAAAACTATCTAACTAGTGACACTAGCTCTAAGAAATCCCTAATATGAATATAAAATGAGGGGATGAGAAAGGAAAAATAAGAAATACTAAGGCAAATTTTGTTTATTAATTTAAAGTTAAAAAAAAAAAAAACACTTCTTAGTGGCAGCAAGGAGGACCTAGCATCAGTAATCTCTTGGGTGAGATACCCTTCTAAAAGAAAACTTTAACCCTTATATTCAACAAACCATGCCTCATTGGAAGTAAACTTGGAGTAGCCAAAGAGTAAGTAGAAAATTTAAATTTTAGTTAGTGAAGTTATTAGTGAATTTCAGTTGACAGCTAATATGTGAGTTTCCCAGGTATACATTTATTATAAATCATATACATTCCTAAAGGTACCAAACTTGACACAAGACGTTCTTTTGTATTCTCATCTTACAAAGCAACCTCAACTATAATAATAATTCTGATTTTAAACTAAAGTATTCGTAGGTTTTATATTCATGACCAAGCTTTTAGATTATTATGTTGAGTTTCATTTTGTTACACTGAAAATAAATTGAGTGACTCTCTTTTTCACTTTTCACAAGGATTTCATGTAACTAGTATTATGATAGGAGGATAGCATACATACAATAGATTTCTTCAATTATTAGAGCTTAATTCTTTAGAAGAACTAAAGAAATTGAGAGCAGTAATGTAAGTGTTCTGACTGGATACCATTTTATGGTAATACACAGTAACTATCATACATTATTTTGTAAGTAGTACAGTCAGCCTTTTTTGAGAGATTTCAGTTTTATAAATAGACTCACATTATTTTGACTATTTTGTCAACTGGCAACCAGTTATTCTTGAAAGAGTTCTCGTTCTTTGGGAGTTAGCTTTCATAGAGAAGAGTGAAGTAGAAGAAATAAGTAACAAAAAATATGAAATGAAAGGCCTTTAATATTCTTGGTGCTCCTAAAGTATCTATTAACTTTATGAATGTTTATATGGCACGAATTTCATTAATAAATCTCAATGCCTCTAAATGCCAGATTTGTTCCATGTTTCAGATAACTCCATGAGAACAGTCAACTGATCACATTCTAAACTTGTAAAATGATCTAAAAACTATGCATCTTAAAATCAGAGCATCTGGTTATAAATCCTAACTCACTCAGTATTTAAACTGAATGACTCAATTTGATATTTCTCATGTATAAAATGGAAATAATAATGATCCTTTTGCATATGACAAAGATAATTTTTAAGCAAATGAGATAAATTATATGGAGGAAACATAAACTTTGCAGTTTGAGTTTAATGTTTACAAAAGTCTTTTTAGGTGACAAACATTATGCTTGCTGTTCAAATGTATATATAGATTGTCTCAGCCCATAGAGTTAATAGTGTAACTGTGGAGTCATTGTGGAGACAATCTTTGTCCATGTTATTTTTTTTTCCTACCTCAAGTATCCCTTTCTTGTGAGCAAGAAAGTAAAACCCAGTTTATTTGCTCACTCTTCAGTAGTTACTTATAAAATGATTATTAGTTCTTGCTAAACTGATTAGCTTGATTTTTCAGGATATAAAGAGACTTAAAGATGCCTCTTAATGAATATTTGTTGCTTACCTCTCCAGCATCCATTCCCAATTATATTCCTAACACCATCCCAAATTTCTTAGTCACATAGTTTGTCTGAGTGTCCAAGCTAAGTTACTTGAGTATGATCAACCTATCCATTTTATTTAGCCACAGTTATCAGTTTAAGGAACACATAGTTTAAGCCAATCAGAGCTAATGGGCCTCACATCTTAGGTTTTATTTGAACTAGTTTTTCTTACTATATATGGATGACGAAATAGACAACTCCAAGAATGGCCCGCTTGGAACCATTAAAGAAATGCTTGCCATTGATGCAAGCAAAATTAAAAAGCAATCCTAAGAAATGGGTCACAATGTTCAAATCATTCACACAATCCTCTATTGAACTCTACCTAACCTTTTGATTTTTCAGTTGCGTGACCCAGTAAATTACTTATTTTTAAGAAGTGTGAACTTGAGATAAAGATCAATATACTGTTGTCTGCAACCAAAAAACATGTTAACTAATATACCTAATTGTATACTGACTCCTTAAAGAGATGAAGAGTATTATGACTGTATATTGAATACGAATCCCTGAAGTTTCAGATTTGAATGAAAAGCTAATTCAAAATAATACAAGTAGAAAAAAGTATGGCACAAAGAAGGAAGAAAAGAGAAATAAATTCCACTTTTCTATGGTTATTAAATAAATGTGAAGGTATTTTCAAGGAGACTATATCCAAATATGAAGAAATTTCAACTTGTGCTTTATAGCCTCAAGGCAACTGATAGGTTCCAAAATCCAGATTATAATGACAGACAAGAAGGAATTTGAGACAAGTTTAAGGTAAGATATCCCTGGGGCAACAGAATCAGAAATCTTAATCTCACTGAATGAAATTAAATCTTCTAGAGCAGTCCAGCATAATAATGATGTTTCCCTAGCTGCTTTGGTAGAAATTGCTGATTTTCTTTGGCAAAATATATGGAGAAATTATTATGTTGACTGCATATATCCAATGAGAAGGTTATGTCTTCCTAGAGCATTTAAGCAAAATGCTAAGCTAGCACCAACACTACTGTAGATTTCCCTGTGAATAAATGGCACCATTGCAAAAGATCAGAGACATTATAAAGATTTTGCACTAGCACATTGCATAAACACACATGATTCTATCCATAGGAATTTGGTATATTAAAATGATAATAATTGACTGTTAGTTACCCTTGTAAACATTTCATGTGTCAAGGCTGTACATGTGTTATTAGTTTACTTATGAGAAAATTAAAGCACAAGGAGAGTAAGAACATTACCAGACTAGCTGGTAACTGAGCTGTTATTCATATTTAGCCAGAGTCAGTTTTTTAAACCATGAAGTAAATCATGTTACTTCCCTATTTGAAATCTTTAGAGGATTACCATTACATAGAGAATAAAACCAAAATTCCTTGACATGTTCTGCTAGACTCTACATAATCCTCTCTACTTTGTAGACTCTTCTCTTATCATTTATTACCCTCTCCCTGTTGCTCACTAGGCTTCATCAAGTTTTTACTTGAATACATTATCCCCAGTACCTAAAATGTTCAAAATACTCTGCCCCAGGCTAAATGCTATTTTATTCTCTGTCTTAGATTATCTATCTTTTAATCTGCCTAAAGATAATCTAACTTGTTTGTAGTTATTTTATCTCTCCTTTGAGTTCTATCTACATACTGTAAAGTTTATGAGAACAATGATCACATCTCTTAGTTTATGTGTCCCAAATCTAGCACAGTTTGACACATGGTATGCATTGTACAATAATTTGTTAAAGATATGTTTTATATGTACCATAAAAAATTGACAGTGGAATATATGTATTAGCAAAACTGTATTTGTTTATTTTCCTGGGAAACAAGTAATTTACATGGAAAAACAAATCATAATGAGGACTCTGATTATTAATGTAATAATTAAAATTCTGAAAATTTTTTAAAATCACAAGAAGTTTATTAAGTATAAATAATAAAAAAAGCAAACTGTAAAAAATAGGCCCAGATAAATATTTAAATTGTTAAATTTATTTGGGTCACATAAATATGAGACTCATTCCAATTACAATAGATTTGTTAACTAGCTACCCAAATTAAGTCCAAATAACAGAGATCTTCTGTTATTTGAGTCATCTTTCAAATATTCTGTAAATTTAAACATATTTTCAAGCAAAAAAATTTAAGAGTCAAAAATAACACATAAATTTCTTTGGCAAAAACATAAATTTTTATGTTTACTTAATTGATATTTTAACTAATATTTCAAAAGACTACAGAGTTCAAAAACAAGAAGTAATATTTTGACTGTACTCTAATTATGATAACTCTATTTCTTCTTTTATATGTGCTCACCTATTCAAATAAACTTGAGGAAAGAAAAGCAACTTAGAATCAGAACAGTTCCTACAAAACTGTGCACCCCATTACAGTTTCACTTAATGAGGAAAATCATACTGTTTAATAATTCACAGTTGAAATTACAATTTATGTCTACAGAGAATTTGAAAGCAACTGAGACAAATTGTTTTCTCAGTGCTATCAGTTGCATAAGATAATGTGAATGCAGATTAGTTCTTTGTAAGTAGAAATGTTATTTCTTTTGAAAGTGATTTGGTATTTCTCATTCTCATTTGTGCTAGCTTAACCCTCTATGAATTCTGCTTACTCTGTCTATATGTGTACTCACTACTCCTTGGCAAGCCTTTGATTAACCTCTTATTAACTTCTTTGAATAGAACAATGAATTTCAGTTTCAAACTGTAATTTCTCTTTTTTCACCTCCCTTACCCCCTATTATCTCTTCACTTCCTGTTATACTA